AACATTGCTGAACGTTAATTATTCCTCCCGTCTGCTTGCCTCAGCCCTTTCCTACCTTTCCCTTATGGCATTGCCTTGGAAAGCTTTAAACCTTGTTCTAGTCACTGCAGATTTGCAAGATGGTTTTCAGAGACCCAAAATATTTTCAGGCACCTCATGCTGCAATTGCAGAGATGAAGGTACTATGAAACATGGAGAAATAAGACTGCACAGTGAAACCTGGCAGCATGGTTCACTACCATCCAATCCTATGTCAAGTATGCTTCTCGGGGGCACCAGTTTCAGTATTGCTCAGTTCAAGGTAGCACAGCTATTCAAGATTCCCTAGTTGTGACCCTCACTTGGAGAGAAGGCAAGCTGAATACAGGTGGGCTGTTTTCAGTGCCTGGTAGCATTTTTGCCTGCTCCAAAAGGCAAAAGCAGATGAGCCAAGGGTGAGCGAAATAGCTTCCTTCCCCCATGTAAAACAAACAAACAAAAACAGTTCATGGAGTTAGAGAGGAAGCAGGCTCCTGAGCTGTTAATATAACTGGATCTACAATGAATCACAGTCTGATCTGCATCATTTCTTCGGTGACAATTATTAACAAGAGCTCCCATGAACAAAGGACACGGAAGTAGCAGGGTCTCCCAGATTATACAACTGGGCATCAAAGATGTAACAGACCCTTTAATCCTTTCCACAGTCAAAAGATCTTGGCCCTTAAACTTGACTGTCTCCGTCCTTGTTGACAGACTCTAGATTTAAATATTCTCAAACACAAAGAAATTCACAGTATTTCAGCCACTAACATCTATGCTAGAGTCATCTCCAGGTCAATTCATTTTCCGTATGGGACTATGCATTTCACACAGCTAGCAGCACACTTCCCCATTGTTGTTCTAATGTTTTAATTTGGAAAGAAAGAGCAAAGAGCCAAAATTTATGAATTCAGCTTGTACCACTCTATCACCTTAGCAAAACTGTGGATGGAGCTGTTATGTTTGGATAAATGGCTTACAAGCACAGACTCTCAAATGTCTTAAAAGAAGGTAGCACTGTGATTCTAGGCAGGATATTAGGCTCATGGGAACACTGAAGTCTTGCCTTGGCCAAAGTTTGATTCCTGAAGCTGTTTTAGTGCCAAAGGAAACACACAACTGGGCCGTTCTTTATTTGTTTCATCACTGGAAACGAGGGTTTGGATCTTATGGGTGACATAAGTCAGAACGATCATGACATGACTCCTTTCTCACCCTTGTTCCTCCTCTAGCAGTCCCTCAAGACTCAAAGACTGATGCTGGAAATCACGTGGCCTGTTGGGGGAGTGATCAGGCAAAACAGCCATCCTGTTCGATCAGTGGTGTTTCTGCTAATACGAGAGATTCTGCAAGAGCGGCAGCGATGCCAGTTTGGTTTCTTCACATTGTGGAACCCTGGCTGAATGGCTTTTTGCCCCCTAAAGTCCAGCAACCTCCAGCATCAGGTCTGAGATGTCTCGGGGGCTACTGGAGGAAAGCAGGAAAGAACTTCATGACTGTGTATGCTTGGCAGGGATGCTCCACAGGATCCAAAGCAAGGATGAGATGTATTTGTGTGGCAGAATACAGACTGGAATTTCTCTTTTCAAAACTTGTGGTTATCTCTGAGTAGCAGCAGCTATATCACCTAGTCTCACAACGCATGAACAGTCTCTCAGCTGTGTACTCCAGTGGCCAAGCCACAGGTACCTGTACAGGTGCACCAAGAAGATGCAGATTGCCCACATGTTAATAGGACTAGGGAAAGAATGATACAAGCCCTTCCATTACAGCTTGCAATGGCTTTAGAGAAAAAGCTTTCATCACAAAATACTCAAGAGAGAGCTCAGTATAGACTCCATTCACCCTCACTGCTAACGGCACAGGCAGGCACCACAGGAAGGGGGCTCCTATCACTAGTGCTGTGCCTGAACAGGAAAGCCATAAAATTCTGCATCTTACTCCTTGGGCTAATTAACACCTACAAGGCAAAAAGGCAAATCCTTGATAAGTTATATCGACCTGTGTAATTTTCCTGTATCAACTGGTGCTAACACCACACAAGGATTGAAGAACCTCCGTAAGAAACAACAACAACTAAGACCCCACCATGGGTGCCTGATAGGTAGTCCCTTTCCCTCATTGTGTGTGGCCCTAGTAAGGTAATGTAATTAATAATTGTACAATGTAAACCGCTCAGAGCCCTTAGGGGGTGAGTGGTCTATAAATGGAACGTTAAATAAATAAATAAAGACCGGAAGACATTGTTACTGCTCCAGATTTGACCCAGTTGCAATACTTGAATCCCACCCCCAATCGGTCTCCAGAAATAACTGGGGGGTTCTAAAAGGAATTAGCGATCCCTCAATCAAATAGACAGAGCAGCATTTGTGATTCTTACTGGTCAAGAGCCCAGAAAAATAACTGAATAGGTCCCATAAAACATGTGCTAGAATTCAACAATATTTTAAAGTTAGTTCACCTGCCCCTTCTACCCTCCTCTGAGGCACTGTACTAGCAAAATTCAGTGCAGATTTACAAAGCCCATCGTAAAAAACTGCAGAAGCACTTTGGTAAGCTACTCATTGCCAAGTTTGTAACCTAGAAATTGATGTTCTGGACATATACCCCAATCCCTCTCCTAGCAGAATTTCCATTGGCTCCATTCCTCTGCTTATACCCTGCCACTCAGACAACAGTCCTGGTGAACACGGGAAAGGATGGGTTAGGTTTTCCACCTGCAACACAACACTTCCTTATCCTGTATGTCTCAAGAAATACTAATCTTGCACCTAAGGACTGCAGTGTGTATAGGGGTGTGTGTGTGTGGGGGGGGAAGGTGTAGTTCTTCAGACACTAGTTCCTTCCATTCCTTCAGAGGCAAGGCACACAGCAACTCTAGTTCTTTATCATCATCACTTAATTTGCCAGAAAATCAAAGACACTTAGAACCACATAATGGGCATTTAAACTCAATTGCCATTTTATGAAAAGCTGTTCCAAATGAGACAGTTCTGAGCAAAGCAGATCAGTTTCCTATTAACACCCCACTTCGATCTCTTTCCCAAATAGTGTCCCCCTCCATTTGTCGGGTTCCAGAGCAGCAGACCCACATATGAGACTTCTGTGGAGGAACAACAACAATTGGAATAGGCAAATGGCAGGGGGGAAATTCAAACAGCACCTCTCCCTTGTTCAAAAAGCAGCTACTTTCAACACTGGTTTCCATAAACAATGCAAGCAGTGTGATAAATACATTGTGTGGTATCTACATTAGTCCTTACTACCTAAGATATATATGTAAATGACTCAAAGTAGTTTTATGAACTGTTTCAATATATGCTTGTAACCAGTTGCAGCATCGCCTCTTGCTAAGCTGTGCAGTATGAACCCCATTTAGTTACGCAACATCTGAAAACTGTTTCAGGAACTGAGTCACACTTTCTGCTGAGAGATCCAACCACAAGGCACAGAGTAGACTGCTTTTTCTGCCATAAATGGTTCTTTGCAACAGACCTGTGGCTCAACATGAACCAGACTTGCCATTTCACACATCAAAGCCTGAAGTTGTATGCAAACTCACTAGGATGCACTGGTCTGAAAGGACCGCTTGAACCTACGTAGCACAGTCTGCTTCCATACTGTCTCTTCATAAAGCTCTCTTTCTCAGAGGCAGAACTCAAACCGTCTAGTGGTAATGTCCCAAGCTCGTGACCAGTAAAAGGGCTGATATCGACCACACTGGTCTACTTATACAGTATTGACAGTACAGGAGAGGTTCATTAATTATTGATGGCAGGAGGATTCAGTTTGTTCTTTAGCTCTGTGCTGGCTTTACTGTGCCTAGGACGATGGCCATCATGTGCACCTTTCCATTTGTACAGCGGACAGTGTCAAACTAACAGCCACTATGGAAGACTAGTTTAACCTAAAAAGAAGCTGAGACAGGTGGGGCCCGACAATTTAGAAGAGGGAGAAGAGATTGGATTTATACCCCACCCTTCATTACCCAAGGGAGTCTCAGAGGGGCTGACAATCTCCTTTCCCTCCCCCTCCCCACAACAGACACCCTGTGAGGTAGGCGGGGCTGAGAGAGCTCTGACAGAAACTGCTCTTTTTCAAGAACAGCTCTTATCAGAACTATGGCTTGCCCAAGGTCATCCGGCTAGGTGCAAGCGGAGGAGTGGGCAATTAAACCCGGCTCTCCCAGATTAGAGTCCGCGCACTTAACCACTACACCAAACTGGCTATGTCTGTCAAAAGTGGTATCTTAAACCATGGTTGTAACCTTCAGTTCTCATTAATGGGGCCAGTTTATGAATCAGCAATAATCCACTATTACTAACTTTAAATTAAAGAAGGTAAAACACTATCCTGTACCCCTGCAACTTTCTGAGGGTTTTTTTTTTTTTTTTGCAAAGGAAGTGTGAGGAAGCAATAAACTTCATGAGTGACAGAGTTCTTAAAAAGAAGATAGATAAAGAATGGGATAGATTTTACTGGACAAGACTTAAAATGGTACTATTAGGGCTGCAAACATTAGAACATTAGCGGACAAGCAATAGTGATAAAAAGAGTACATGGACAATGAAGAAGTCTGCTTCACAATTTCAGGAAAAATACTATAGAACATGTCTATTCCTACCTCATCAGCACCATGTTCCTGGAGCTCTTTGTAGAATTTCAGAGAAATACTGACCATAACTTTTGTTTTATCACCATTTGGATTGGAAATATGGTAAAGGACTCCATCAAAGTCTAGGAAGGAAGCGTGTGAGAGGTTAGGAGTGCCTCTACTTAGCTTCAGTTTAGTTGCGTGGTAGGTGAGGAAACCTTCTAAAATAGGTACAAAGCATAGCAAGTTCTTTGGCCCTCAAGCCTACTACTTTTACTGGAGCCTAGTGGCAATATGAAACAAAACTTATGTGTTTCAGAAAAAAATCCACACTCTCCTGAAGTTATATTATTAGAACTTGTCACAGATGAAGCACGATGCTGGGGGTTTTATTAGAACCTAGGTGTACGTACTAGAGAACTAAGTGAAGCAAAGCACAGAATTTCAGAGCCATAGGAAGCAGGCACCTTGCCAAGTAAGGGCAGATTCGACAACAGACTTTACCTATACTATGGCCGCGTTCAGACGGGCAGTTTGGCACAGCAGCCAAATGTTTCAGGAACGTTTCACTAGTGGATTAAAGGGGCGGGTTCACACAGGCACAGCTGTCTGGCGTCCCCCAGCCGTATCCAAGCCGTCTTGTACCGCTTCCCTCCCAAGTTTTAAAAGTACCTGGGGGTGGAGAGCGGGTTGATTCCGGTTCCCTGACATATGAACACAAGCGCTGTAAGGTGGGAACAACCCGCAGTCATTGATAATAGGCACTGGCTGTTTCCGCGGGCAGGTGCCCATGCGCCCATGCGCATAGGTGCATGCAGTGGAGCACAGAAACAGCCGCTAACAGCCCGCCAGGTGCAGGACAACAGTGCGAGCGCTCCCTTGAGCTTCCTCCACGGTATCCTTCCACTTCATTTGCTGCAGTATGAATGGGAATACTGTGACCAAGCCATTCTGGGTCTTCTTTGACGCGACTCCCTAGCGCTGCAAACTGCCAGTCTGAACGTGGCCTATAACTATACCGAGGCAAAGACTGTAGAACATGTCAGTGTTTTTTTGAACATTTTCAAAAATAGCTGAATTAATGCGTTTTTAGTTAGACCAATCACTTAACAGCTAGCATGAGTTCCTTCAAGGAAACTCAAAAGCTGATATTTGATTGATCCTACATCAAAAAAGTGTTACATTTTTTACAATAACTGTGGCAGCAACTCAAAAATTCAGTGCTAAGGTTCCAATACCAGCACAAGGGCAGAACTAGTATCAAACTCATAAGAACATAAGAAGAGCCCTGCTGGATCCAGCATCCTCTCACACAGTGACCAACCAATTCCTCTGGACAGCCAGCAACAGGGCATAGAGGCCAAGGCCTTCCTCTGATACTGCCTCCTGGCTCTGAGATTAAGAGGATTAGTGCCTCTGAATGTGGAGGTTCCCCTCAGTCACCATTGCCAGTAGCTATTGATAGACTTATCCACCATAAATCTATCCAATCCCCTTTTAAAGCTGTTTATTCCTGTGGCATCTCTACATCCTCTGGCAGCGAATTTCACATTTCAATCACTCTCTGTGTAAAGGAGTATTTATTTTCGTCTGTCCTGAACCTACTGCCCATCAGTTTCACTGGATGCCCTCAAGTTATAGTATTTTGGAAGAGGGGGAAATTTTCACTTTGTCAACTTTTCCCACCCCATCCATAATTGAATAAAGCTCTATCATGCCCCCCCCCCAGTTGTCTCTTTTCTAAACTGACTCTTCAGACTCTCCTCGCAGGGAAGGCGCTCCAACCCCCTAATCATCTTGGTCGCCCTCCTCTGTACTTTTTCCAGTTCTGCAATGTCCTTTTGGAGATACAGTGACAAGAACTGTACACAGTATTCCAAATGAGGCCGCACCACAGATCTATACAGGGGCATAACAATATTGGTCCTCTTATTCTGAGTCCCTTTCCTAATAATCCCTAACACAGAGTTTGCCCTTTTCACTGCCTCAGCACACTGGGTTGACACTTTCATTGAGCTATCCACTAGAACCCCAAGATCTTTCCCCCTCTGTCTCAGCAAGTTTAGATCCCATCAGCCTATACTTGAAGCTGGGATTTATTTTTTTTGTCCCAGTGTGCCCCACCTTACACTTGCAAACACTGAACTTCATTTCCCACATTGTCGCCCACTCACCCAGTTTATGGAGGGGCCTCTTGGAGCTCTTCACAGTCTGCCTTGGTTTTCACCATCCTGAATAATTTTGTGTCATCTGCAAGCTTGGCCACATCACTGCTCACCCCTAGTTCCAGATCATTTATGAATAAATTAAATAGTACCGGCCCCAATACCAATCCTTGTGGGACCCTGCTGCTTACTTCTCTCCATTATGACAACTGTCCATTAACTCTTTGCTTCCTGTCATTTAACCAATTTGTAATCCATATGAGAACTCATCTTATTACTGACAAGATAAGAGTTATCAGAGATTCACGTTATTACTGTTCCAAGGGCAGCTGCTACCCATGCATACCACTGTAGCCCATTGCATGATTATGACCTTCATGCCCAGGGTCAAAAAGTAAGAACAGAAGTGAATAGGGATCAGATCCCACCACTCCCAAGCTTGAGACAAACAATCTGTCCACTGGACTATCAGATAATTTAAGCATGAAACATGAACAAGTGATATTATTGGCTTGCATATCTACTGTGTTAGAATACACTACATTGCAACAGCTATGAAAGCACCTAACCAGCTGACATTACCATCACCAACAGGAGAAACACTGGGCATGTCACCATGACCAATTAAACTTCCAGAACAAGGTCTACCATTTGTATAGTTCACATATCTGTCAGAGTCAACAGAGGGGACAAGGTACTCACTGCTTAATAAAAGCCACAACAAAATTCAAGTATTTGCATTTTATTTTTATCTCACTGAATTAAAAATAATGTTTCTTACCTGCAAATGTTACCTCTACAGCCTCAGGCTTGTTTCTGGGGAAAACATAAAACGCAAAAATCAGAATTGGGCAATGCAATCATAAACATTTACAGAAACTGTGATTTATGTAACCACAAAGCCCAAATGCCAGCAATTGATCCATATGCTTTCTAGCATAACTACATTAAGAAAATGAGTGTTTCAGAATAAACTTCCAGATGAGACAACCCAAATGCCTCTGCTCTCCAAGTGAACTGAAAACCATGCGTAAGTCATACATTTGCCATTCTAAAACTGAACAAAGGTCTCCAAAATTTTCTTCTCTTTATACACTCTAAGTTGTCAATTTAGCAGTGGAAACCTTTGGTGGTACTTTCTGCGTGAGAGCGATTTCTTTCCTTTTTTAAATATCTTTTTATTGCACAAATAATTACAAACAGTTAAAATTATGTACAACAAATCAAAGGAAATGGTCAAGAAGTAATATCCAGTTTCATATGCTTATATTATTTCTATTATACTTTAACAATTAAAAATTGAAACTAATCTAGATAGATCTGGCATTTTAAAAAAAATTCACCACGTTGCTCTAAATAGTCCAATATAGGGTACCAGATAAACTCAAAATCTGATTTATACTTCTCTACAGATTTAAAATTCAACTGTTCAGTTATCTTTGCCATTATGTAATGTTCCCATAATTTCCTATGCCACAAAGAGAGCGGAGGAACTATTGAACCAATCCACATGCAAAAGAACCTCCTCAGGAAACAATCCATATACAAAAGAACCTCTTCAGAAAAGCTACTCCATTAGCATGTTCACAGCCTGGGGAACTCCTACAAGATAATGACTCAGCCCTACCCCACCTTCCTGAGTAGATATAAATTACCTGCCTACCATTTTCATCTCACCGTGACACAGAGCGTACTCTGGTCATGAGGGTAATGAGGGAAGAAACCTAGGTCTCAGTTCAGTCCAGTAGTTTTCATTGTCTTGAGCAACTGTGATCAGTTGCAATGCAGCACTCTCTCTTTCTCATCTCCCTTTGAAATTCCTTTGTAAGAGAACTGCTCCTCTTAGGTCAGCAACTGAGCAACTGAGAGTCCTGGAAGGTTAAAATGCTCCTGTAATGATTCCTTGTTTCTGTGTGTGTGTGTCTCTTTAAAAGTTTGGTTGCATGGCTGTGGTAGATAGACTAGAGTGGTTGAGAGAGGCAAGTGTGGTATTATTGGTGGCTGACAGAGAGGAGGAGGGGTTTTGGAAATGAAAATGAGTGGATGAGTATGTATGTCAGTCAGGAGTGACAGTTACAGGTTGACAGTTGATAAGTTCAGTTAGTTCTGTGTGTGAGGAAAGAGAAGCAGTCCTGTGTGGAATAAGTTAGTTCTGTGTTGAAGCAATTAAGAACAGCTGAGGTTGTTCTGAGAGGAAGGATAAGAGATCTGAGGGCTGAGTCTATGAAAACGTAAAGTTTAGGTGAAGAAATGTTATAGTAAAGTCTGGGTGCTATAACAGACTGGAAAGAGACAGTGAACCTATATGGCATGGAGATAAACAAGTGATACAAAGTTACATGAAAAGATCCCTGTCAGTAAGGGAGCAGATTGTGTGTGATACACCAAGCAATTGTTCATTATTTACACATTACTAGTTACATTGTTCTACCCTTTTATTTATGAATTAGGTCTACCAAAATAGTAAGAGCAACAGTAAAGTATAAAGGTTTGGAAATCCTTAAAATTTCCTGGTGGCAGCCGTCTATATCCAGATAAACAGAATAAAAAGAGAACTTTTAAAGTGAAACCAGAATAAGGTCGTCGTCACAGCTCCCCTCACTGGATTTTGAATGTTGTGGTCTCTAATAGCATTAGAAAAAGAGTCCAGTAGCATCTTGAAGACTAGCAAAATTTATGGTAAGGTGTGTGCTTTTGTGAGTCACTGCTCACTTCTACAGATTTATTTCCATTTATTCTTTGCATCCTCCGGGACTGAATCCTCCTGTACCAAATTGAGACCTGGGTTTCCTGTCTCATTACCAATGCTGAGATCTCCACGCCTGCTACCCCTCTGCATATCACACCTAATCCAATCAAGCCTGCTATTGCCATTCAGCATCTGAAATAATCTTTATAAAGTTTATACCTTACATTTTATGGCACCCATGGCACGGCCTGACAAAGTGACTTTAATGTCAGATCCAGCCCTTGTAACAAATGAGTTTTTAAAGAAAGTCACACCAGTGAACTGGTGGAAGTCACTTAAGCACTTGGATGTAGAGACTGTTGAAGTAATGATTTCACTTTTGACAGCAGTAGCTTCTTCTGTTGGCGTAGAAAGAATATTTCCTTCCTTTGGACTTATTCATTCTAAATTGAGAAATCATTTGGGATCTGATAAAGCAGCCGCAAGACGGGGTGAGCTCCTGTCTCTAGTTCCAGCTCCTGCCAACCTAGCAGTTCGAAAGCAAGAAATTGCAAGTAGATAAATAGGGACCACTTCGGTGGGAAGGTAACAGCGTTCCGTGCGCCTTGGTGTTTAGTCATGCCGGCCACATGACCACGGAAACGTCTTCGGACAGATCATAAACAAACAAGAAGATGGAGTGAGCTACAGAGGACAGTATTTTAAGGGGTTTTTTTAATATATAAAATTTTATTGCTTTTCTACAATCACTATTTTCTTTTCCAGATCATAAACAAACAAGAAGATGGAGTGAGCTACAGAGGACAGTATTTTAAGGGTTTTTTTTTAATATATAAAATTTTATTGCTTTTCTACAATCACTATAGGAAGGGGTTACTTTGTAGTTTTATTTGTTAGTATTTTAAGTTTTTCATGTGTGGACCACCTGGCAGTCTAAGTTTTTTAAAAAAAAGATATTTTCAACCATATCAGTTAACATACATGGATGTTTAAGCAAATACAAGAATACATGTGCTATAAAGGTTATTATTTTAGTTAAATAAAACTATTTAAATTATTATTATTAAGGTAATGATTATTCTTCTTCCAATGAAGTACAGCAGAAAAGTTGTCCGAATATGAATGATTAACCTGTTAAACTGGAGACAGTTCACACTGCAGTAATATATATCTATGATGTGTTTCTAATAGTATAACTAAATCAGTAATTTTTGATGTAACTGTAAAACTAATCTGAAAGGTTCTAAAAATGAAACTTTCATCTGATTGTAAATATTAAGATTATACCAGCAAGAATTAGTCTTTATGTAGAAAACTAAGATTTAAATCTAGTCTTACTGACTAGTGATTTAAATCTATTTGATTTAAATCAAATTCACCCCGGGACTAGGTAAACCCAGCAAGAAAAGGCAGTTCTAAAGAAGTGTGGCTATAGTTAAAAAAAGTTCTAACCCTGGTCAACACCAGTCAGACTGTGCGAACACAAGGTGGTATTTAGATTACTGTATCTTTATATATATGACAATAAACTGATTGGTATACAAGGTGGGCACTCCATGAAACTGCAGAGCGGTCGGGTTAGAACGGATAAAAGGAAGTACTTCTTCACCCAAAGAGCGATTAACACATGGAATTCACTGCCACAGGAAGTGGTGGGTGCTACAAGCATGGACGGCTTCAAAAGGGAATTAGATAAGCATATGGAGCAGAGGTCCATCAGTGGCTATTAGCCACAAGGTATAGCTAGGGGCTCTGGGGCAAGTGATGCTCTGTCTTCTTGGTGCTTGGGGGGGGGGTCAACAGTGGGAGGGCTTCTAATGTCCTGGCCCCACTGCTAGACCTCCTGATGGCACTGGTATTTCTGGCCACTGTGTGACACAGAGTGATGGACTGGATGGGCCTTTGGCCTGATCCAACATTGGCGTCTCTTATGTTCTTAAGGTGGGGAGTGATTCAGAGAAGGGAAGAAGATTCTATCTAATGAACAAGTAGGTCCCTACAGGAAGTCATAGAGGTCAAAACCAGCAGTTTGAATTACACTCAGATTCAAGATAGAAGGTAATATAGATTTTGCAACATGTTAATTGCAATATGTTCCTGTTAACAAAATTGCCAGAGCATTTTGGGACATGGGAAACCCAGGAACATAAAAAAAGGTGAAGCAAGGAGTTATCACAAGCATTTCCCACTTCATTAAAAGCAGCTGAAGATCCATTAAAACCCTCTTGCTTCTCCGTAACACCACTCATTCGGCCCACATCCTTTTTAAGCTTTTCTCTCAGCTAGCAAGCTGCCAGCAAGCTAGTCACAATCTCTCTTCCTCCTCCCCATCTTTTATTCCATACTATGTTATATGATGCAGAGGGGACAGGAAAGGAGCTTGTGAGAAAGAGGACACATTCTGACATTTGCAAGTCCTCTGGTTCCCTTTCAAGCTACTTCCCAGCTGGAGGCGATAAAACAGAGGGGAAAGGAGAGCTCTCATTTTCCATCTACCACTTTCTGTGCCTTTGTTTTTCCAAGCAGTTTCTCAAATGAAAAGTACATGAGGAAAGATACACAAGGACGCTAAGAACATAAATAAAGGAATTTACTTAATCTCATGTTCCTGTCTTTCTCTTCCTAGGATTCTATCAAGGAGTTCAAAATAGAACACTATTTCTGACTCTGACCGAGATTTAAGATTCAGCCAAATGATGATTTCTACTTTAAACCCTTACTACAGCATCAAGTGGTTAAGACGCTGAACTGCAGGCTGTGGAAGGTTCAGCAGTTCGAGACCCGGGTGCCGCATGATGGAGTGAGCTCCCATCTCTAGTTCCAGCTCCTGCCAACCTAGCAGTTCAAAAGCAAGAAATTGCAAGTAGATAAATAGGTACCACTTCGGTGGAAAGGGAACAACGTTCCGTGCGCCTTGGTATTTAGTCATGCCGGCCACATGACCACGGAAACGTCTTCGGACAGCGCTGGCTCTTCGGCTTTGAAACGGAGATGAGCACCGCAACCCTAGAGTCGGATTCGACTGGCTTTCGAGCAAGGGACCCTTTACCTTTACTTTTACAGCATCTTTCCAAGTGCTGTACAATGTAAACTTAGCAGCTGGCATACCACGCCCAAATTCCTGTGTTTACCTCAAACTGTTGAAAACACCTCACAGAATAAAACTGCTTACATGATGGGTGTTTCTCAAGCATTCTTCTTTCAGCCATAGTGATGTTTTCATAAGATTTTTCCATTTATCTTATCAGGCATCAAAGTACTAGGAAAAGCCATTTCAGCACCTGCTTAGTTGAAATTATATGGTTCTCTGCTAGCCTAAAAATATTACATTACTCTGGGTGCATGCAAAATATATATTTTACTATATACAAATATTTATTTATTTCTGTCAATTTATATTCCACCCTCGCCATGAGCGGGCTCAAGGTGGATCACAAAGTAGGTTCTTGAGCCATTCGGCTCATCACGGTAAACAGAAACATTAACAGAAAAATTTGAAACTGTTAAAACAACACGATTTTTAAAAAGTCGCACTATTTGTTAACGTCACATGCACAGGCCCCAAGTAGTGGTGCCGCTGGATCTCTGGGGTCTTCTTGATCTGGGCCGCCTGGAGGGGGTGAGACTAAAGCAGGGAAGGCTGGCTTTTATTGGATGCCCACTGCCTCAGCCTGGGGGGAAGGCAATAGGTCCCACAGGGCCCTGATCTCTAGTGGGAGCATGTTTCACCAGGCTGGGGCCCTGGTTTTTTCAGGGTGAAAAAAGCCCTGGCCCTGGTTGAGGCTAAGCGGACGTCCCTTCAGCCAGGGACAACCAGCAGATCTTGACTGGCAGAGCACAAGGCTCTCCAGGGCACAAATCGGGTATATCAGTACCAGGCCGTGCAAGGCTTTAAAGGTCAGTACCAATACCCTGAGGCGGATCTGGCACTCAATGGGTAGCCAGTGCAATTGGCATAGTGCTGGTGGAATGCACGGCCTGCACAGGCAACGCAGTCAGCAGGTTACCGCTGAA